GACAATATGCATTTTACTTTAGAAACCAACGACTACGCTTCTCACTTGACTTATGTCTAAGCAAGTTCAAAGTCCTAAGACATTCCCTAATATGTCTATTACGAGAGATATCTTAGTTTTAGGATGGAAATAGTCGCAACCTCGGGTTAAGGTCCTATGTCTAGGCTACTTAAGCGGAACCCTTATGTCTAAGGCGCTCCTCTCCTCGGTTTAACCACTCAACAATGCAAATAAGCAACCTTTTCAGTATTGACTTGTTAAGACTTACAGTGGCCTTCTCTAAATCCTAACAGTTGTCTGGAGCATATTGATCCTAATCTTAGATGTCTGAAAGTGGAAGGTCACACTTACAAGAATTACTAAGAGTTAGTATATTCTTGACCAAACCAAACGATAACTAAAGGCTATAGAAATAACAGTTATTCTGGTATTAGCATTTCGTCAAGATTTTCTTAATTCAATGGAGGAATGGTTGACTGTCTCTCGGTGGAGGCTGTTCTAAACCATTGAAGTATCGTTGCAAATATAAATAAAAATTGGGTACTTTATTGGAATTTGCTAAACTTAAAATTGGATTTAGAACTTATATAAAGTATGTTTGTTTTTCAGCATGAATAGCTCAATAGTTCAACTCTTAGCTTCGGGAAAACTAAACGGAGATAATTATTCAACGTGGAAAAACAATCTGAATACAATACTGGTCGTCGATGACCTACGATTCGTCTTAACTGAGGAATGTCCATAAACCCCTGCCGCAAATGCCAACCGAAATGTTCGAGAAGCATTTTATCGATGGGTCAAAGCCAACGATAAGGCCCGTATCTACATTCTTGCCAGAATGACTGATGTATTGGCAAAGAAACATGAACCCTTGATGACTGCAAAGGAAATCTTGGATTCATTAAAGGCAATGTTCGGGTAACCTTCATCGACTTTGAGACACGAGGCACTTAAATACGTTTACAACAAGCATATGAAGGAGGGGACTGATTACGCTTGTTTACATGCGTAAAAAGAAGGTTTTAGATGCTGTTTTTACTATGTTTTAACTTTGTTTCAGACTTTTTCTCGGTCGTTTGAGTTCAAATTCATGCAAAATTCATATATGATGGTTTGTGGTTGGCTTATATTGTATTTATGACATTTTAGGACCATTTGGGAGTGCAAATTAATCAAAAGAAGCAAAAAGTCGAAAACATCCTCATGGAAGGCGCCAGACGCCTAGGAAGGCTGCAGAAAACTGTTTTTCTTCCAACTTTGCCCTTAATGAAACGCGTCTTCCAATGCATTTTGGTGGTTCCAACCGATGCATACGTGTAGAAGAAGTGTTCCACTATCAGTTTGAGCACGATTTAGTCAGTCAAAGGAGTTTGAAATGGGTGATTCACCATCATTTTAGGACCTACCTAACCAATTCTGCACAGCTATAAATTCCAGCAGCTTCTCCACCAAATTCATCAAGCCTTGCTTCCTTCTCTTGATCATTTTTAGTGTTTCTTTGTTGCTTTCTAAGTACTTTTGAGTTGCTTTCATTAGTTGCTTTTGGTTTTAAATCACGAGCACTTTACATTCCTTTATTGAGCTTTGTTTTGTTTCCATTTGTACTTAGTTATTTTCTACCTATTCAAATATATAAAAATCCAGCACTTTGCTTATCTTCCCTTTGCCTTTACTTTATTTTTTTAGAGAGTTGTGTTTTTGGAGGAAAGAGCACGTGACACTCCCCCTTGCTTGAAAGAGAAGGGCAAAGCTCTCAATCCCGAGAAAAACTCTCCGTTAGTTAACTTTTGTTTTTCACACATGCATTCCAATTTCAACCATTTTACTTGCTGTATTTTCTTCAATATGTCTTTCTAAATTCCCGTCTCTAGCCCGGTTATGGATAGTTAGCCTTTTATTTCTAAAAAGGGTTGCTAAGAAGTAGTGTTTTTGCTTTCCATTCATTGCTCAACATGTTTTCCCAAAAAGTTAGGATTTAGAGAAGGCCACTGTAAGTCTTAACAAATCAATACTGAAAAGGTTGCTTATTTGCATTGTTGAGTGGTTAAACCGAGGAGAGGAGCGCCTTAGACATAAGGGTTCCGGTTAAGTAGCCTAGACATAGGACCTTAACCCGAGGTTGCGACTATTTCCATCCTAAAACTAAGATATCTCTCATAATAGACATATTAGGGAATGTCTTAGGACTTTGAACTTGCTTAGACATAAGTCAAGTGAAAAGCGTAGTCGTTGGTTCCYAAAGTAAAATGCATATCGTCCTTAGCGTATCCTTGATTCTTTGTTGGCTAACTTGAAGTAATTTGGACTAGGTTTTACCATTATAATACCAAATCCCAAATCCAAAACCATTATTTGTGACCACTTCCCATTTTACAAGAATCACTCATTTCAACGTTCACTATTCATTAAAACTTTAGAGTTTGGAAATTATTTAGAAGTCCTTGAGAATCGATACTTGGATACTCCATCCATTTTATATTACTCTGACGGGTGTGCGCTTGCATCTATAGAACTGTTACCACGCTTAGTGCGTGCGTTCAGCATAACCACCAGTCAAGTTTTTTGCGCCGTTTCTGGGGACTTTAGTTTCAAAATTATTTTAAAATTCTTTTAGTTTTTATTTTTGTGAATTGTTGTTGGGTGTAATTTCCATCCACCGTTTTTGTTCTATATTTTTGTTCGTTTATCTCACAAGGGTAAGTTAAAGTGCATGAGCACAAGATCTTTCTTCTACCCCTTGACCCTGAGATTGAGCGGACCCTTCGAAAAACTCGAAAGGAGCAAAGACTTCGAAAACAACTAGAAAAGCAAAAAGAGA